TTAATTTTTCTTTTTATCATTAACATCAAAATATGTCTAAACATTCCAATTTTCAAAAATAGCAACATGCAAAAAAAGGAAATAGGCCAGTTAAACATTGTATGAGGCAACACACAAATTATATTTTTATACTTAACTTGAAAACATTCTACTTTCTCACTCATTGGTTGAAAGGATAAGGAAAGGGGTGTGAGCACAGTGAGGCTATGTGGAGATAAGAAGAAAAACTAAGCTGCAATGCTGCCGTCTCCACCAGTTAAGAGAACATGACCAGAGAGATCAGTGGTGTCACCAGGAGCAGGAGGCCAGCAGTTGTGCTGCTGGCGCTGTTGCAGTAGTCACCCTGGCAGCAGCTAAAGTCTCCTCCAATGGTTTCTTTAATCTCTGCAGCTGCCATACTTGAGCACACCATCTTGGAGGCACAGCCCTTCAAGGTGCTCTTTGTATTTCCCACATTCACTGAGAGAATAAAAATATTAGAGTGTAACGCTTTAATACATCTACTTGAATCACTAAAAATACATTAATCTGAGGAAATACGTGGAACAGAGTTAGGCTTGCTACCTGTAGCTGAGATGCAGTGGTCCTCGTTCCCCCCGCAGTTTACAGTTGCGGTGCACGTTTGTCCGTCGCATTGGAAGCACTTCTTACCATTGGGACTGGACCGGCTGGGCTCTGTAAGAACACACATTGTTCATCTCGATTGGGGGAGTAGAGGGGGGTGGAGAGGTGACTGCACTTTTCTTCCTCAGTGCCTTTGTCAGAGTTGAAATAACAGCTTTAATAGCTATTGATAGAAAGAGAAAATGTAAAGGCTCATGCCTTTGTTTCTTTGCTCTCTTTCTCTCTCTCTCTCTCTCTCTCTCTCTCTCTCTCTGACTCGCATCATCAATTTTTATATATATTTAGTGCTGGGCAACGATTCAATTTTTAATTGCGATTAATCGCATGATTTTCTGGCAAAATTCAATAATGAATTACTGAAAGTACTGCCTTGCGAACTTTTATTTTAGAAGTACTGCTAGTATATGAACAAAAGTGCAATAACATATGGTTTTGCACACAACTTTACACTTTAAACAAATAAGTTGCTTTTTAACAGCAGTAATCCCTTTACACAGTAGCATTAAAACTAATTCTTGCTAAGTGTGCTGCAAAATGTCTCTGTCTTCATTACAGTCAGAGCATATGAATGCAGATCCCACTGTCCTGACTTGCTTTTGTTTATCTATACTTCTCCAACACGCTGCGTACAACGTAGTCTGCCGAAGCCTCCTCCCTCCACTCCCCTCCTGTGACCCATGGTTTGTCTGGATGTGTATTCAGAGCCAGTGAGCAACGGACTTTCAAAATAATAATAATAGTAAAAAAAAACTTAATAAAGT